TACTTTCATTTTCAGCAAAGGTTATTTCAGTATCTTTGCTATCACTAACGACTGAATCCATAATTACTTATCGTTATAAGCATTATATTAATAGAAGATTTAATAATATTTCTTTTTTTTTTTATTAAAAAAAAAAAAAGCATGTAATATTTTTAAAATATTGCTTTCACATGTTTTTTTTCTGTTTCTACATTAAAAAAATTGTCATTTGACATTAAAAAAAAGTGGTTTCAAGCACTAGAAAAATAATTGAAATTAAAAAACTTAAAACCTAGATTTCTACATAATAAATACATATGCGATGTATTTAAATCATTAAAAAATAAGCTTAACTATAGATGCAGATAATTGTATCTATATTAGTAATGAGTGAGAATTTAAGTGAATTACGAACTAAAGTTTTGACAATATTAGCTTTAAACTTGTTTTTTATTTATTTATATAAGAAATTATAATGGGCTCTCACAGGCCCCACGGGGGCCCGTGGGCCTGTTTCTAAAACCTGAACCAAACCCAGTATTTAATAAACCCAGTATAAACCCGGCCCACTTTATAAACAAGTCAAAATATTGAACCCGGTTTTGACTTAGCCTGGCCTATTCTAAACCCTAAAAGTTGTAAACTTGCTGTGAAGGGTTGAATTTAAGGTTAAATGAGAGTTTACCACAAAATCCTGAAAGGCAGATTCCTGAAAAGACTTAATGCCAACAAAAGTTGGCCAGCATTAGTTATAGTGCTTGTAATTTGATTGGTATTACATTTTTTCGAGAAAATATTTTTTGAAATTTGTAGTAGAACAGTTAAATGGATGTCATAGTTAAACTGTATTTATTTACATGTTTATGTTGATTTTACATTCATTATTTAAGCCATAAATAATGAATGTAAAATGAACATAAACATATAGATAAATACAATTTATGGCTTAAATAATAAATGCAAAAAAATATAAACATGTAAATAAATACAGTTTACTATATCAGTGATTAAGAATCAATTATTAAGATTAAGCCCTAAATTTTAAGGCTTTATTCTCTTCTCTTTCTCTTATTTAAGTTATAAACTGTATTTATTTATGCGTTTATGTTTATTTTACATTCATTATTTAAACCACTAAATCCATTGTTCACATGTGATACTCTCTCAGTTAGAGAATTAAAAATTTGTATTAGAATACAAAATTTTAAATTCAAATTCAAAAATTTAACCTTTTTTAAATTTGAATCCACCTCTATTCCTAATTATGCTAACTTCAGATAAAAGCTTTGGTCTTGCGAATTTACATTTTACATATTTACGTTGCTAAAGTTATATATTACTAATCTTTTAACTTTCTAAATTCGTCTAATTGTAACTTTCTAAGCCGACATTAAATAATACTAGTCAACCACCCATAATAATTACTATTTTAACTTTATGGCACATAATAGGGCAAACCTTATTCATGCTGTAATCTAAATATAAGAATTAATATCTACTTTATTAATCAGGTTAAATGCTCATACAACATGTTTTGCTTTTCATTTTAGAGCTTGTCTGAATTTTTTTGATGCTACTTAACACTGAACACATTACATGAATCATATTATAACAAATCTTATCATTATATTATTGAAGTTCTATGATGTGTCTGTCCATTCTGATTGGCTCGTTTATATAAGCGCAAACATATGATACCAAGAGAAGACTGGGCTTTGGGTTTTAGAGCTTATACTTAACGGGCACAATCCTAATTTGATTTTTCAGGGCTGAGTCTGTTTGGTTATAAACTTAAAACCTCAAATACCGTTTCCTCTTAGCAGTACTTAAATGTAAACATTTGGAGACTGCATTAATCAAAATTTTAATTATGTATCGTATGCCGTTGATTACGATAGATTGTTCAAGAGCTGAGCCCAACAATTTATAAACTCATATAGTTTTCATTTAGCAGCGCTTATTTTATTTATTAGTTACGAAAAAAATATTAAGTTACAGTACACAGATACGATTTTCCGCGCCTGCACTTTAACAATTTTTGATCGGATTATTTGAATAATTATGAAGATTTGTATACTCATGTTACATTCAAAAGTTTAACAAATTCATTCTTTAACAATCAGTGATTACAATCTAAAACAGCCAATAAAAGATCAGATAAAAATTAAAAATGCGAAGTCTAGAAGGCATGTACAACATTATCTGTTATTTCACCTGGATTTTTGTGCGCAGCTTCTAAATTCTGGCACGTGCGTATCGGGTACCTTGCTATTTTTGGTAGTCAATTTTACGTCTCTTTAAGAAACATGTGTTAATAAAATATTACAAATCTTTACACAAACTTTTCTGGTTATCTATTCACTGTGAAAATACTGTAAATACTAGATTCGCTTTGTTACAATGTTACACAAATAATTTAAACTAACAGTATACGCATATTATTATGTAACTTTTTACTGTATACGAATTTATAGTCAAAAAACATTTGATTTGTAATGCAACTCTATTAGTTCTGACGATGAGCGTTTATGATTTCGAGAATGAACAAGATCCTAATTATGAACAGAATTCTAATGATGAATGGGATTCTTAATCTTCAAATGAAGATATTCAGGATCTAGAAAATCCATTGACGGCATAATTTTATATTTTAAATAATGTAAAAAAATTTTTTTTTTAAAATGTAAATTACATTATATTTAATACATTGGAAGTTCAACGAACAACCGACATTATTAAACTTTGACGAAATTACAGAAGAGATTGAAGGAATTAATAAGGTATGTATAATAAACATAACTTTAAAGTAAAAATTTAATTATAAAATATAAATTAAAATTTAATTTTATAGCCTTTATTAATTCAATTAGGTAGAAATCAGAAATCGGTACTAAAATTAAATATCGGCTTGAGTTTAAGAATATCCAGAGACTTCTGAGGATGGAGTTGCTTGTGTATATAATGTAGTTGGTATGGATACTGAAAAAGCCCTTGAAATTTTTGACTTTAAGAATATTTAGTATGCGTATGAGGATGGAACTACCCATGAAAGTGTCTACTGTCTTGAAATTATATAAATTTTTTTGATGACTATACTTTATTAATTATACATTACACATTTGCTATATAATCTATAATCATTGATATAAAATTTTGAAATAGTTCCGCCTACACCTCTAGTTCTAACCAATGCACAGCCTTTCCATAACAATAGTGCTAACAATAAAGTAATGAATACTAATACAATGTAGAAAATATAACAAGGAAAATTTAAACATAAAATTTTCGTAAGCTCTAAATTACGTGTTTGTTTTTTTCTTCAATAAAAAGTTTTCAACTATTTTTATTAAGTGAAAGTATTATTTATGCACTTCCAGAATTCCTTTTGCGAGTAAAAAAAAAAGAAATAATTTAGAAAATAAGCGTCTCTAACACAACCAAAAAGATTTTTGTTCGGTACTTTATTCTCAAGAGAATAAAGTTTTGCTGAAATCTACGTTTACAAGCTTGTAATTTTAAATCTTTTAAAATTTCTTAACTATATTCTGGGACGTGATTTTTATATTTCAAGTTAATTTTTATTGATAATGATACGTACTATACAATATTGCAAATATAAAATGATACTACAAATTGCAATAATTAATTCAAGTTCTCAAAAGCCATTTTCCCGAAAGAACATAATTAGTCAGTATTACGTTTTCCAGGAAAATAACTTTCGGAAATCATACAGTAATCCTGATACAATACTGCAATAGGTGCTGAAAATAAATATTTCTGCTAAGTTGTTAAATAATGAGTAAATTTACATAAACTTACAAATACTTATTTTGGTTTTGAATTTTCGTATAAAGTAGGTATGTTTATTTCAATTAAAAATTTTAATCGATCACATGAAATTGTTTACTAAAAAAAAAACTTGAAAAGTGCTAAAATTCAAAAGAACAAACTGTTAGTATTAAACATATTTCATAAACATCTTAATTCATAGACAGCTAATTCAGAAACAAGTTTATCTTACAGACGATCAATTCACAGACAAGCTCATTTCGTTGACAATTTATTTCATCGATGGCCCTTTTCACCAACAAGCTCATTTCTTGCGTAAGCTATGACTTACCCTAAAATTAAACATTAGAAATAGTAGCAACTAGAATTATTTTGTCGGTGAGATAAATCTGTCTGCAAAATGAGCTGTTTGTGAAATAATTTTTGTAAGCTTGCCTATGAAATAAGTAGCACCTGAATGACCGGAATAGAGAATAATTTGTGTACGGGCAAAAACATATCTGATTTCATCTTTGTCTAGCACCAAAAAAATGTATTGGTTATTCAACTTTGTATAATCCAAAATCCCAGATTATAAATTAAATCAAACCTATCTTTGTAACGTCTAATAATGATTACTGATTTGAAATACTGAACAGTTCATTCACTTCTTGAAGATTACTATAATGCTATAGTTATATCATGTCAAATAATATTTTGACAGTAATCAATTCTTCAAGCTTTTATTAGTAGTATACCGGAAGTAATTCAAGGCTTAATACAATGAATACGTCATTAATACTTAACTCTTGCCGGCACTAAAAGTCCAGTTAGAAAGTCAGATCGTTTTAACACAAACAGATAAAGAGCTTTAATGATAATGATATTTAATATAATACCTTTTATCAATCTTTCGCCCGATCTTTCATTGACCTTTCTGAATCTTCAATCGTTCATTACAAGTATTTCTGAAATATAATGATATGGTGCAAAAGAATTCTGGTATGTTACCATAATAATAGTCTTCAAGTACAGTAATCGTGTTTTGTAAATCATCATACAAATCCGATACAAACCTACTAATCAACTTATGCCACTATAGAGAATAAGCACTGTAAATCACTACGCCAATCTAACATAATCTGTAAATCAAGTAACAAAATTTTTTACAGTAAATCACCATACAAACTACGATAAATTCAATACAAATATAACATAACACCACATGAAATTCTGCATATCCGCTATCGTTATTAGATGAAGCCATATACTTGAAAGACGAATCCTGAGCCCAAAAAACAAAGACGAAATTCTGGCAAGGTCCAAAATTTGGCGAAACAATAAAATCCCGGTGAAACCTCAAAAAGAACAAAAGATGAATCTTCGTGGTGAAATGATGAAACTCTGGTGAAACAACGAATCCCCAGCAAAACTGAGCCTAAAAAGACAAAAGACAAATCTTCGTAGCGAAATGACGAAACTCTGTTAAACCGACGAAATCCTAACGAAACTGGGCCACAACAAGACAAACTATAAACCCGTGACGAAAAGGCAAAACTCTGATGAAACGACGAAACCTGGTAAAAGCAAAATAGTAAAATCCGTCGAAAATTAACTTACCCAGCAAAAAGCCCTGGACGAAACACTGGAGTAGTAACAAATAACTGAAATAGATAAAAAAAAAAAAAAAAGGGTTAAACAATACATATGATGAAAAATTCAAATTTATTGATTAATAAAAACGTACGTTATCATATTACACAAAATTAACATACGTTGAATACG